GGTAGGGGGGGGAGGGGTCTTTGGCAGGTTATGCATAGAGGCTAGGAGGCCGTTAGGGCCCTGCGAGGGGCCCGCGGCTGGCTGTGAGGCCATCGCGGGCGAGGGTTCTGGTCGTGGGGGGTGGGTTTGGTGGTGTTAGTGCTAGGGTGGCAGTCCCAGCGCGGCACTAACAGTGGGTGCCGGTGGGGTGGTATGTAGGAGGGAAGTTCGACCCTGGTTCCATGCTGTGGCTAAGCTCTTTCAATCCTTAGGAATAAAACTTCCCGGGTTGGGTATTAGTCTTCACTGATTGCAAATCTTACAGCTACGTAAGATGTATTTATTGCTGTATTTACTACTGCGACCTATAGAGAGTTTTCTAAGTAACGTATATTGCATTTTTATAGCATGAATCTTTTAATTGCCTCTGTTTTAGTTTGCAGACGCGAAACTAGCAGCCTAAATAGCTCTTACCAGGCTCGCGTTCAAGAAGTACACTATAATGGAAATACAGCCGACCTGTGAGACTATGGTAGTGTGAGTGTAGATGTATTAATTAAGTGCAAGTCTAGGTACAGAGGTTCGCAAAACTGGTGTCCGTTTGGTAGGTGTGTTCTTTCCGTTGAGCACGGGCCTTCCACTCCTGGAACGGCTTAGCTGCATTGCAGGTGGCAGGGGTACCTTAACAGAGACTCTGGTACATCAGCTCACGGGAGCCCGACATGGCTGACAGAACAAATCGCTGACAGCTGGCCTTCATGATGGACAGTTAGCATGACGCAAGCCAGAACTAGCTGATTGTGTGCGTTCAAAGCCAGCAGCGTCAGCAACAAGCAGCTTCTTCCAACCTACGCAACGCGTTATAAAGGTATCGATGTATCGAGCATCAGTTAGATAGGCAGGGGTCATTGTGTGTATATTGATGAGTATGACGAATGAACGGTTATGGGAGGAAACCCCATATCTATATAATGAGTGTACGATCCCCTGGATAAGGACATCCTTGCTGACCTTATTCATATCTTTAGTTAAGCATAAGTCAGGTTACTTGAGGTGAAACAATTGCTGTAACGAATGTGCTGGGATAGCCTGACACAAGGCTTCTAGGCGCCGGCGTTGCTTGTCCGTCAAGCTGTGCGGTACCATAGGCCCGGGCTGCGGCGACGACGGAAGGGGGGATGGGAGAGCCATGTTTCGCTATGCACTGATTCAGCCGGTCTTCTTCAATAATAGACGTGTAATACAAAACGGATTTCTTTTCCCCCTGCTTTCTTCTTCTTCCTTGTTACTTCCTTAAAAAACGTTTCTCTTTCTTCTCTCTTGCTTACTTTTCCTCGTTTCCTTTATTCCCCTGTAGCGGAAGCTGTTGACCTAATCTTCTTTATGTATAGTTCATGAAAACAGTCAGTCAGGAGAGGGGGCCTCATTTTGGAACGCGTCGAGATTTCAATCGAAGATGGAGACACTGCAGTGCTAAGCGGGTCCTACTCAGGCCAATGCCGGCCAATCAGAGGCCCTAGGAAACGCGTCGAGATATCCGAGTCGGGCAGGGGGTGACAAGCGGGGCTCCGGACCGGGTCGGGCCAATAGCTGTACACGGATGGCCGTATCTCGACGCGTTCCGGTGTGGAATAATTGAGTAGGGTTAGGGGTAGGGTTAGGGCTTTATTTCGGAACGCGTCGAGATTTGGTTTAGGGTGGAGACACTGAAGTCAATGCCGGCCAATCAGAGGACCCAGGGAACGCGTCGAGATTTCCAAGTCGGGCAGGGGGTAAGGGGTGGGGCTCCGGACGGGTCGGGCCAATGGCTGTACACGGATGGCCGTATCTCGACGCGTTCCGGCATGGAATAACTGAGTAAGGTTTGCTGTCCATTTGAGCAAGCCCAGCTCATTGGTAATGACACGATGCGCCTGCCAAGAGGGATCTTTGTGGCTTTATGCCCTACGAGCGGACACCCCGCCGTTTCGATCAGTCGCATGGTGTTAGCTGTCAACTGCGTGTGAAGTCGTCAATTGTATGCGAAATTGTCAAACATGCAAGTCGTCAGCGGCGCCAACTCAATCGTTCGTCGCGCAAATCGTCAATTGCAGGCAAAGTCGTCAATCGATTGCGCATCTACTCGCACAGTGACCTGGCCAATGAACCTGCGCAAATCATTGAAAGGTGAGGAACGTCAATTGATGGGGTCACTGTGTTGGTTTACTGGGAGGAGCTCTGAAGAGTGGGTCATTGTGCAAACGGCACCCGCCGCTCACTCAAAGCGGTGGTACAACGGCCCACTTTTGAGGACCTCTTCGAAGGCAGTGCGAATAGTATGGCCTTCAAAAGTTCCCACAGCAATGGGAGTTTTTGAGCCACAGCCACGTGACAGCGGGAGTTTTTCGACCGTGCTGAAGCCAAAGCACCACCAAAGCACAGAGTTCTTGGCCCGCGTCGCGTCGCGCGTTCCACTCACCCAACTCGGCCAACCTCATCAACGGCCACCAGATGTCTTGACTGCACCACGACGTTTTCCGCCGTTGACATTCCTCCACTCATGCCTCGTACTCTGATTAAGTGATGACGCCTTCCCGAACTTTCCGACCGAAAATCAGCTGGTGCTTAACCCTGGGTGGTTTGGGGGAAGCTGTGCCTGGCTGCCTTCTCGTCAGCCGCTCTCCATAGGGCAGGATCACTGCGTCTTCCTTACACTTCTACCCAACCGCTCCTGCCAGACTTACCGTGCTCCAAACGCCTTCTTGACCTCAGCCCTTGCATTCCGTGCCTATTCCTGCAACTTCACATCACGTGTGAGTCTCGTCGCATCACGACTTTTTTTTTTTTTCTTTTTGTCTGCCACAGTGGTCAGCTGCAAAAATCGCCCCTTCCATCCACCACAGCTTCAATGCCGACGAAGCCACATGTACCACCCATTGTGAGAATCACCGACAATACTAAAAACTACAATAACAAACACAGCCACAACCCCCCGCAACACCCACCCGTCCACCCAACAAGAGACTGCCCGTAAGGGGCGGCTGTTTGTCGCCAATCACCACAAATCCGCCGGCAAGGGTGATGACGGGGACACCAGTTAGCCTAGGAGATGTGCAATTCACGGTGCACCTATGGACTTCATTGCCAACTCGCGCCAAGCAGGAGCGCCCGCTCCCTGCCTGACTATCGAGAGTTATCAGAACGAAAAGTTACATTCCTTGTATAAGTATCACATGAATTATTGACCTCAAATGCCACACCAGACTAACAACTACAAGATAAAGAAGATCATGACCCATTCGAGCCCTGCACGTACGCCTGATCGTACTTGTATGGCATCTGGTGGTTGTCGTAGTAGGGATCGTACGTTAGAAGAGCGAAGCCCGGGTCTTGGGCAGCAATGCCACTGGGCCAGCACTTGTTGTCATTCAGACCATCGTTCGCCGGAGGATTGCCCGAGTGGCCATACGAAGAGATGGTGAACTCGGGGTGCGTGTTGACGCCGACACCCACATACGTGCGCAGCAGCCCGGTCTTGGGGCGGGTGACCGACTTGGCGCTGTTCGGAGCCCGGCTGACGGCAGTGTCAAAGTTGGCATCAGACAACTCCTTGAGGGTGCTCGCGAAGCAGGCGCCCTTCCACATCTGCCCGGCCTTGCGGTTGTCCTTGTCCGGGATGTAGCGCACCAGCTGGCCGGTTCGGTCGATACCCGAGTTGACGATGGCCGGATTGCTGGCGTCCAGCAGGTAGGCGGGCGGGTACTCGTCGCGGTCGCAAGCGCCCCACTGGCGGTTGGACTTGCGTGTCCAGCCGGATCCACGATGCTGGCTGCTCCAGGTCGCCGTCGCCTGCGCGTCTTGTCTATGGGCCGTGGTGGCAGCCGCTTGGGGACACGTCAGGGTCGCCCACGCCTGATTGTTGCGAATGACACTGCTATAGTGGTAGCACGCCTGTGACCATTGAGCAGAACAAGTCGCCTGGACTTGTGTCGCGCGGGCACCGTACGTCAGAGACGTGATGATGAGCTCTTCCTTCTGCGTCTTGGAGGCCACGCACGACTGTCGGCGCATCGTGTTCTTGGCCGCCCCCAGCCGCAGCGTAGACTGCGACTTGGGCACATTGCACTTCTTGCGGATGCCACCACTTCCGGGCTGCGTCTTGCCCAGCCCGTTGGCGCCACTGCCGGTGCCCGCCTTCGGTTTGGACCGGTCGGTCGGGTTTGCTTCGTCGCCCTTCTTGCCGCTGCCCTTGGACGCCTTGGGTTTCACGAAGCTCGACACGCCGTCAGCCACAGAACTAAGAATGCCAAAGATCTCCTTGATCTCCTCCGGCACCAGCTCCGTCCCGCCGCACGGGCTGAGCCACCACGAGAAGGCGCCCTCGGGGTCTTCCTCCTCGGGATACAGATACGCCGCCATCTGCGCTGCCGTCGTCGCCATGTCGAGCCCAGCGTCTAGGATCTTGCCCACGCCCGGGATCAGGCTGGCGCCCACGTCCAGCACCAGCTTCAGCGACGACATGAGCACATAACACCCAATCTGCGCGATGATGGGCAGTGCCTCGAGCACCGTGTCCGCGATCTCGTTGATCAGCATGTTGTCGCACGAGCATGTGCCCGGCGCCACATAGTACGAAGTGCCCGGGTACTTGTCCCACGGGATGCCGTCGGGATACTCCTTGGTCGAGAAGAAGCCGATGCAACCATAATTGGAAGTCCGACCCTCGTCCTTGGCCTCGTCGAGCGCCGACTTGCAGTACGAGTAGCATTGAAACTGCGCCTCGTCCCTCAGTCGGGCATTCTGGTAGATGAGGCACCTGTTGGCGTTGGCCAGTCGCGCCTCGGTGTAGTTGAAATAGTTGGGGTTCTCGGGGCTCCAGCCGACCTCGATGATGCCGTCGTCCTCGTCCTTGTCGACAACAGCCGTCGTGCACACTTCGGACGGGCAGTAGCCGTGCGAGCACGCGAAGCGGCACAACCGATTCAAATCGACATCGACCTCGTCCCACGCGATGATGTCTCCCTCGACCGGGTTCTCCGGCGGAATCGGCAGCATCTCGCCCCTCGTCACGCATTCACACAGCGACTCCGGGCAGAGGCCTAGGGAACAGGTAAACTCGCACAGGTCGCCCGAGTTTGCCGTCTTGTCCTCGCCCGACACGCAGCCCTCGTCGCCCGTGTCGCCGCCGCGGTCAATCGGCACCTTCATGTCATCGTCACCAAACGTCTGCAGGTCGACGGCCCAATCTATGCTTCCGCCAAAGTTCAGCGCCTTCCAGTCATCGCGCCTTGTAAGCTTCGTCGCGGGCGTCATGTAACTAACATAGTCGCCTTTGTACAGCAGGACGTCGGTGTTGGAGTCGCCATCATGGAACAGCTCCGAGTACGACCCCTGCGTGATGAGCTCATTAATCTCGGCATTAGAGATGTATCCCTTGGTCGCGGTACATCTCCCGGGGTTCGCGTCCGACTCGATGCGTGTCCCCGTGAAATCGCACAAGGGGCCCCAACAGCCGTCGACGGCCATGTGGAACGAGCGGCCGTAGCTGGACTCGCCCACCATGACCTTGTTGTTCGCGACGCCCGCCTTGGTGATGATGGACAGCGTGTTGCGCGTCTCAGTCAGGTTGACGTGGCTTCGGATGCACTTACCGGACGGGCACGAGTCGAAGGCGTTGACATTGCCATAATCCCACTGGCCGTGCAGGTCGTACGTCATGTACACAATGTAGTCAATCACGGCCGAGATGCGGTCGATGGGGAAGGCCTTCAGATACCAGTAGGACGCAGGCGCCGCGATGGAGACCGACTTGTCGGTGCCCAGCTTCTGCTTGAGGGAGGTCAGGAACCGCAGGTACGCCACGCCGTCTCCGGTCTGCCCGATCGGCTTCCCATCGACCATGATGTCAGGGGCGCCAGGGTACTCCCAGTCAATGTCGATGCCGTCGATACCCTCATCCTTGGCGAACTGGGCAAGGTTCGTCGCAAAAGTCTCGCGGTTGTCGATGATGGCCTGCCGGATGATGTTGTACGTCGCCGGCTCGGTCGAGTAGGCCCAGCCGCCGAACGACACGATGCGCTTCAGCTCAAGCTTCTTGAACGCGTCCCACTGGCCGTGCGGGTCAGTGATGACGGGCTTCCAAGTGTTTGGGTCGATCTCGGCGAAGCCCCAGTGCATGTGGGTGTAGGTGCCGTCTGTGTTGGCCTTTTCGGAACGCAGCCAAAGACAGTCTCGACCCATGTTCCACGATTCATAATAACCAACGCGCGAGAAGGTGACCGGCGGCCCGGAGTTCTGCTTGATCTCGTTGCCGCAGTTGGAGATGCACGTGCTCTGGAAGCCGGGCAGCTTGGTCCCCGGGCCACCTCCCTCGGGCGCGTGAATGTCGCAGTGCTCCGGGAATGGTCCGCAGAATCCCCAGTTGCTGCAGCACGCCTTGAGCGGACAAGGATTCAGGTCGACCATGGATGTGCCGTCTGTTGGCTGGGTTGTCCCCGGCACAAGCGGCCCGCACTGCGCTCCCTCTTGCGGCGGCGGCAGAGGCGGGTTGCCGGAGCTGAGACACATGTTGTAGTCGATGAGCATGTCCTTGCACTGGGTCCACGCCCACGTCTTGCCTTTGTTGAAACCTTCGATCTCCTCCTCTGTCAAGCCGTATTGAAGGCCCAGCGAGCTACAGGTGTCGCCTGCAGCGATGAGATGCGTCGCACACGTCCCGTCGTCACCTGGCGCTGGTTTCCAGCCTCCCGGATCGCCGGCCGAGCAGCAGACGTACTGGTTCGGCTGCAAGGCATTTGGGTTCGTGCAGTCTATCTTTGGGTTGTACGTGGTGAATTGGGAGCCCCTAATGCCGCACCGGGACGCGAGGGATGTGCATGTGTCGCCGCCCAGCACCTGAATGTAGGAGCAAAAGTCGCGCCCCTGTAGCTTATTCTGGCGCGGCAGGATTGCTGTGCTTCTTCTGGTCACTGTGGAATTGCTGAACAATGTTCCGTTGCTCAGAGTGCCGTTGCTGTTGTGGAATTGGACAATGTCCAAGACGGCCACCTTCAGCTCGCCCGACGGCACAAGGCTGTCACCAGCGGCGCACTTTCCGGCGTGCCAGTCTGCGGCCGTCTGTTGGACGGCGGCGAGGTCGCCCATGTTATCCAAGACGACACCAAATACGCCTGATGATGGCTTGTTCGTCTCGCAGAGCTGCGTCACTAAGCGGTTGGGCACGCGGCCGTCACCCTGCAGCCGTCCGGCGAGAGCATCGATGGCCGCACCAACGGTGACCTTGCCCAGGCCAGCCCCGATATAGATGCCCGCGACAGTCTGCTTGTGGTAGCCGAACAGGAACGACTCGTCGCAGTTGTCGGTTGTGTTGAAGTAGACACCCATGGCCTCGAGCAGACGCGTCGCATCGCCCACGTTATCGGCTCCGTCGCCGTCGGCGCTGCTTGTGGTTGCAACCGGGAGAGTCTTCATGACCTCCCCGCCCGGAAGCACGTCGCACGCCGGGGCCCGGTTCAGAGAAGGCTGGAACAGCGTGTCGGACTTTTTCGGGTTCCCCATATTGGCGGCCGTCTCGTTGGCCACCTTGGCAGCCTCGGTGGTCGCATAGGTCAAGTTGATGTTGTTTGGTGTGATGATGGGCTCCCCGCCGCTGGCGCCGCCAAACGTGCAGGCACGGATGAGCACGCCTCCGCTCAGCCGCTGCGTGGGCGAGAGCTGCAACAGCATGGACTTTTGGCATCGCCGGAGCCGGTCGACGGAGAGGTAGGTGACCCAAGTGTGCACATTGTCAAGGTGGGCACAAGGGAGTGGGCAGTCGTGTTGATCTGGTTCGTATGTCTTGATGTCGGCGATGGGCGAGGGGTCATCTTCGCCCACGGGTGCGACGACCCTGGCGCCGTCAAGGTTGACGGCGCATTGCACGACACTTGCCCCCAAGATGAGGGAAGCGGTAATGAATCTTCTCATTGTTTACGTCGTCGGCCACCCAATGGGTGAGTGTGTAATGAGCGGCACCGACTGCGCAGTCACTGTGTCATCAAAAAGGACAACAGAGGATATTGAAGATTTGGACCCTAGCAATTTTTTCAGAAGACCCGGCGACTCTACAATGCTTTGTATCTTGTTGGGAACAGTCTTTCATGGCTCCGTCTTCTCCTCTGCCTGTACCTCTCTACCTACCTCGGGTTTCATCAAAATTTCTTTCACCAGGCGTCCACACTTGCAGGGCCGAGGATCCCAATACGCCTGGACCTCATAGACTTGAGCGGGTGGTCAGCCTCAGCTGCGGATCGAGTCTTGACTTCGGAACACCTGAGTTCTCTACATGGAGACACTCATTTTGGCACTTTCGTAGGATCAAACCCCGGCTTTCTCCTTTACTGTATCACGGCACTTTTCCGGTCTTCTGAATTTGCAGTTCCATTTCACAATCCATGGCTTAGGCAACTGTGCGGCGCCTGCATGCCATGCAGAAACTATTGAAAAGCTTATACAACATAAGGCACATGGGCAGACCCGAATCGAACCAGACCGTTCTGCCTGCTTGCCAAGCCGTCGTCTGATGTTGGTGTTGGTCACCCCTGATTAACGACATAGAAATTCTGCAGCAACTCAACTCAGGCTGAATCCTTCCGAAGCCTCTTCCTCGGCAGCCTGGGAATGAAGATATTCACTCATGTACAGATACACATCTCAATCCAGACATGACCTCCGAAAGTAACCTTAAACAAGCTTATCATTCCAGCCTTGTGAGAGTTGGTGATGGGGTTGCAGCCGTGAGCGATATTGCAGATGCTGACTCCGTAATTAGGCACTCCTCAACGGTCAGCCGACCGCCAATGGCACCGTTCATGCAGTCATCTCTTTATGAACCTAACGCAGGGTCGCACAGAAGGATCATGTTGATTGGACCGGACCGGGGGAGAAAAAGGGGAAGGTCACAACAAGAACCGCTTCCGGTCAAGCGGCTTACCTAAGACGGGAGGCACAAAAGTCCCTTTCTGCTGTGCCTCTCCTGGCCTGATTGCCATCTTCTTGCCGTCGCTCTTCATCCCTTTTCACATTAGCCGTCGTCTCAACTGTCCGTCAGCAAATACAACTCTAATACAACCAACTCCTTCTCTTCATTCACCTGGCCCAAGGCGATATCGGACACGCCGCAGGATTCCGAGACCTGAACCACCAGACCAAAAGACGAGATGCCAGTCACGCTTGACCAAGTCGAGTACTCAGAGGCGACCACGGTCGCCGCCGTGACCGACTTCTACGCATTCCTGACCAAAATGTACCTTCCCGAGTCGGCCATCGTGCACCCGCCGCCAGGAGGATGGCCCACATTGACCTCTGATCTGTCGGAACTGGGAAAGTCGGACGAGGTGCTCAGCCTGCTCGCCCACCTTCCGTACGTCCGCCAGGGTGATGATCTTGACGAGGGAGAGATACCGGAAGTCACACCCGGCGGCCGCTGGATCGACTGGCACACGTCCGGCATCTGGGTGCGCGAGGGCCGCAGCGACATTGACGAGCTTCGCACCATCAGCGAAGGCCCCGCCATCATGGAGAACGTGCCTGAGCACGTCGTCGGCCTGACAATGAGCGAGCACCACGTCTTTCTGCTCGACACGGAACTCGGCATCGTCTACTGGCCCGAGTGTCCCGGCCGCCTCCGCGACGGGCCCCGCTGCATCGAGGACGACCCGTATGACTACTGCGACGATGACGAGGACGCAGAGTGGCGGGCCGACGGTGCCGCCTGGTCTGTCGCTGACTTCTTCAAGGTGCTCAAGGCCCAGTACCGCACGCTACGCTGGGTTCCATGGAACGAGTACGAGGTCTTGGATTCGGAGAGCACGACGAGGCGTCCCATACCGGCGCTTCAGGAGGTTTTCCGCCGCCACGGCTGGCCAAATTCGCCACAGTATCGCAAAGAGGACTGCTTGGAGGAGACGAAGGCGGTCATGGGTGCAGCGGAGCAGGGAGGCGAAGAGGAGGGGAGCGATGAAGACGGCGCTTAGAGTTGGTGTGAATTAGTGTGGTCGGTTGCCTGCTTGGCACGCTTAGCAGTCTCGGTATTCTTAGCAAGAGAAGCGAGAAGCTTGTTCATTTACACTTGGCTTTGACAGGGGCCCTTGTCAAGGGATCTGTCCCATCGCGTACGGCACAGCGCGAGGCGAACAAAACGTGTGCGGGGGAATAGCAAATCGGACGTCAATCTGAAGTAGAATCGCTTATTCCCGCGAATGAGAGACGCCTAAAAAGAGTCAAATTAGAGAAAACTGGAGAACATAAGCATATTGACGCCATGTAACGCCCGACGGGACAGAATCCTGCGGGAAATCGCCGTGCATTGTTCCTGGTGGCTTGCAGCCTGCTTGGCGAACTGCAATTAAGATTCCGGCCCCTGATGGACACATGCAGCACGAGGCAAACCAAATCCACTTGTGTTCCAATTGTCCAATTTCTTTTCTCCCACGCACCCATGTCATCTGCCGATGACTATGGCTGCAGTTGATATAGACGCGAAGCTGTCAACGCAGCCCTCACATGTTATAGCCTTGCGTCACTTGCGTCTTCGTTGGACTCCCCACACCTCGTCTTGACACTCTTCTCTTCTGTCTCGACTCTTCGTCGTTTGTTTTGACAAACCTCCTACTTTGTCGCTTGGCCATACTATCGCCAGCTTTTCTTCAGAAATCATCATGTCAACTCAGATTCCAAGTCTCGACGCGATGATGAAGCTGGCCGTCCTCGCCATCCTCGGCGCCTCCTTTGTGGCAGCCGTCCCGGACTCTACCATCACCCTTTATGCCCGACAGGCGACGACCGCGCCGCCCTCGTCCGCCTCCATGACCTCACCGCCCTTGACAACGCTGGAGCCTTCATCGACGCTCCGCGATCCATGGCAATGCGCAACTCAGAACCTGTCGCAGTACTTCGACGTGCCCAAGCCCTCGGGCACGTTGAGCGCGGCCATCGACATGTACGTCGACGAGCTCGTCGAGCCCTGCCTCGAGACGGCCACGGGCGCGGACCTGTTCAACTGCCGTGTCACCGAGTCATCGCAGCTATGCGGCTTCACCACCTTCGCGTCGGCGACTCCCGCGCTCATCACGGCATTTGCGTCGTATGAGAGCGCCGCCGCCTCCTTCTGGCGCAGCAACAGTGAGAGCGTGAGCTCATTGTCCGTGGAATGCGCGTCGGCCTGGAACCACTTCGGTGAGCTCAAGCACGCTTGGCTGAACCAGACCATCGCCTACGCCAGCTGCGTGCTGGACGACTTGCCCCCCGTCAGCACGACCACCGGTTCTTCCGGATCGTCTACCACCCCCGGCACAGCGGTAACTGGGACTACGAGTAGCACAACGAACACGGCTGGGTTGGCCAAGAGGACGGATATGTGGATGCTTGCTGGCACTGGAGTAATTGCTGGAGCTGCTAATGTCTTTGCCTAAGAGTGGACGTTTCAATGTTGATTACATGCGGTTGAAAACACAAACTGTTTCCCAATTCCGCCCCTTCGAATGTCTCTACGGACATTCTGCATGCACAAGGAAAAGACTTGGGCAGACAGAAGCTTATTCCTTTCTGTTGCACATCTTGAGAATGTAGATTTTGACCATGTAATCAATTACTCGGGTAAACGCCAAAAATGAACGTGTGCACTAAACCAGAACATTTACATCAAATATGGAAATGTGCACTCAGTACGAACATGTACACCTGATAAGAATATGTGTAGTTGAGCAGTACAATCAAAGACCACACAACCATCTCAGATACCATACTCTGTATATTCCGTCAACTCATGGTCCACGATCGTAATGCTATTCTCGTAATGATCATGAGAAGGCCAATTGACCATGAAAGCGAAACCGAAACAAAAGGAGACCATTACGTCCCCGGCGCTCACTGTAGTCTCCAGGTGACCACTCATGTCTTTCAACAACACAATCTCACTTCCGGCTCTCATTTCCAGTTTGGTCCTGTCCACCGTAGGAGCGCCGAAATCTTCATCTAGCGGCTTGGCGAGCGGCCTGTGCCGCACACTACATGCTTACCTGCTTGGATGTACCTGTACTTATCCATGTGTTGCTCAGCCTCGCAACAGCTGGGATTCACGTCTGCATCTTTTGAACGGGTCCTGAGTTGGCGAGAAAGGTCCAGACCTAGATATCCGAGACGATGACACTTTCGAGGTCAGTCGGTCAGGGAAGTAAGTGACGAAGGAATACTCCCCAGTCAACAATAAAACTATGCATAAAGACGATGCTACGTCAGGTAGCAATGTTGAATTTGCTGACGGTCTGCACCTGTTGATTTGGGTCGTGCGATCGAAGTAGGGGCGACATGATTGAATGTGAAAGTGTGGACCTCGTGACGTCTTTTCACACCCGACTGAGGAAGTGAGAAAAGCCCGTGCCGATAGTGGCAATATTGTCTTCTGGCCCGGGTCATCAAGCAGACTAACCGACCAGCAGTTCCAGGCAGCCATCTGCCCAATTATCCGGATCCGCATTCGTCTACTCTAGCCGGGCGAAGAATATTGTGCCGACACGACACGATACCTTGAAAGGTGACATGAAAGGTTACACATATATGGATCGTCGGGCAGATGATAACATCGTCGATCAGCTCGCAGGTGTCCCTCATTCCCAACACGCAAGACAACAGCATCGGGTCACCGCCATCAACCGAAACAACCAACACCGCCATGCTGTCTTACGTGCTGCCCTCACTCCTGCTTGCCAGCAGCTTCGTCGACGTGGCGCTGGGCGGCGTGGCTCATGTTCGCCGCGATGGTTCATCGCCTTCGTTGACATATGATCCTAACACCACCGCGTACTGCACCTGGTGGGTTGACCTGACCACGGCCAAGACCTGCAGCGTCCTTCTGAGTGAGAACGCCATTGACTTGGTCTCGTTCCGAAGATGGGTGAGAAGACACTCAAGTAGTTCCTTGTAAGAGGATTCGAGGTTGGCTAACAAGACTCGCTAGAACCCGTCCATCACAGACACATGCGTCCTGCAGACGGGCCACTCGTACTGCGTCGAGGCCTTCTTTGAGCCGCCGGTCACCACGGCCGGGCCCTCCACGACGTCCACCATCAAGACTACATCGACGACCGCAACCCCGCCGACCACGACATCGACCGGTAATGGCGTGACCACGCCTCAGCCGACGCAGGCGCAAATCGTCAACAACTGCAACAAATTCTACTTTGTGCAGTCGGGCGAGTCGTGCTCCAGCGTAGCCAGCTCCAACGGCATCACGCTTGCCCAGTTCCTTGAATGGAACCCGTCCGCCGGCAGCACATGCGCAGGCCTTTGGGCCAACGCGTACGCTTGCGTCGGCATCATCGGCGGCGCCACGGTTACTTCGAGCCCGCCCACGACCACCACCTCTACGGGCAACGGTATCACCACACCTACGCCCACGCAGCCCAACATGGTCGGAAACTGTGACAGCTTCTACTATGTGAAGTCGGGCGATACGTGCGCTGCCATTGCGAGCAAGTCTGGCATCTCGGTGTCGCAGTTTGTTGAGTGGAACCCCAGCGTGGGTAGCTCATGCAGCGGGCTCTGGCTGGATGCGTATGTATGCATCTCCATTATTGGTCACACTCCCACCACTCCCACGCCGACCAGCCCGGGCAACGGCGTAGCGACGCCCACTCCGATCCAGGACGGAATGACCAAGAGTTGCAAAACATTCCACTACGTCGTCTCAGGTAACACCTGCACGACCATTGCTTCACAATACGGCATCACTGTCGCCCAATTTACTTCCTGGAACCCAGCCGTCGGCTCCTCCTGTACTGGTCTTTGGCTCGACACCTATGCCTGCGTGGCTGTTTTGTAATTGTATTGATGAAAAGTTTGGACGTGGACGATGTCTTCTAATGGGAGAACTTGACTCTATGCTTAAATGAAGATCTTAATATTGCTTATCACTGAACAAAGTCAAGCGTTCAGTTAATTCTGCACATATCTGAAATTATGGTTTAAGCTTAATTCGTTGACAAATCTGTGAGCTGTTTGTGGAGATAAAGCAATCCAGGCAACGGGGAGTTCAATAACCAAGAGAGCGAGCTTCAAAGAAAGATGAGGTGATTGCACGGATGTTGACGAAGAAAATCCTTGCGGCAAAAATCGAAAAATTAATGTCAAATTACAAACGACAGCACCAAAGCAATGGGGACGACAACCGCAACATGCAAAGCCGCAGAGCCTCCACAAGCCCCGCCAACAAGAAACATGGCCTATGACCGAAAGAAAAGGCGTCCATCGCGCATATTCCTCAACAAGAACGCGCAAAGGTCCCTCTTCCCACGTCTCGCGACGCCTTCAAGAGCTTTCACAAAGCCACAGATATGGCCGATTTCGGACCAAGGCATCACAGACACAGACACAGGCCTACTGACCTCGCTGCCGGAAAACGTTGTTATCCGGACAAGAGAACTGACCGTGTCCTCATTGAGAGTACATTGGTCATGATGGCGAACGAGGCTATGCTTGACTGAGAAGAACATTGCCACCTTGGGGTTCTCCGCAGCGGAATTCTTCTCCGGCGATGAAACTGACAGATGAGTCGTTTGCATAGGCTGGTGATGATGCACTGCTTCATGTCATTGACGGGCGGCGAAGTCAGTTGAGGCTCACGTTGCTCATTGATAACTGCATCACTGGACGCCTATAGATTGCATTAGTGAAGGGTCACAAGGGGCAAACATATTTGTTGGACCTGTTTGGAAATGTTTTTGTGGAAGAGGGTTGATTACCGAGGATTATCGCCTGGGACGACGTTGCAAAAGTGACAATGTATAAAACTCTTCAGAAGCGGCATGCGCTGCTGTCATGTGGAATATGTAAAACAGCAATATTCCTATTTGGGGGGGGGGTCAACTTGATTCTGGCTCTGAATTGCGTGAATGGCTTGGCTTTTCCGGTGACGCAGATACATGCGTGTCAGTGAGGCACTGAATAATTGCGATATTTGTCAGTGTAACTGGATGGTTGCAATTTTTATCAGTGTAATTGGATAGCTGAGACCATGCTGAGGAGCAAAAGGCCAGGCAAGAATATAGGAATTTTCGACCAAATACATTGTCACAGCCAATGGTCTCCGGTGAGAATGAACGGCAAAATTTGGATCATCAATCGGTCAAGTTCAGAATCAGTCTTGAGAGCCTGTGAAGCCATTAAGGTCGTTAATATCAGAGGTAGCAAGACGCGAGGAATAATGTTTGGCCAAGAATTGGGCATCCAAGCAAGGTACGAATACTGCGGGAGATATTGCGAGTTAATTGGCAGCCTCTAGATGTCTAGACTGGAAAGATAGGTTTGCTTCATGTTGATGTTTGCAGATTGGTTTAGGTATGATTTTGGTGATTGCTTTGATGATTGGAGACCAAAGCTCTTGAATCTGTAACAATGCGCTTGAGTCGGTTACGCCGAAGGAGACTCAACGAATTGATAGATTAGAGCTTTAGTTACGACCACACGGTGCACGCTTCAACTCACGTCTGGGGAAGAACCTTTCCGCCGCATTAACTGCATCAAACACTGTTGAAGCGCGATGTCAGCCGGGAAGGTAGTTGAGAATGCGTGCGTCTATTAAATCAGGAATTATCTGACTCTTGTAACCCTACATCTCGTTCCCGGGTTCGACTATGAATCCCCACTGCGACAAAGCAGCAATCGTAATCATCGACTGCTATGTAATTAGATTGCAGTGTAAGGGTCTAGGACAAGGTCGATGCCATTGGTCTAACCTACTACTACGAGTACAATAAATCTTCTTGAAGAACAGGAAACAGAACCGTACCCTCCCTATTTCCTGGGCACTCTTATGAACTTGCCATTGACCTTGTCGATATTCCTAGAACCTTCTAGCAAATGCGCCATTGGATTTGGTGGGTCAAATGAGTCGTGGCTGAGGGTCTTGCCGAAGGCCGAACACCGTGTTACGGTCAGCTATCCGACAGTAGGGTCTGCTAACAGAAGTTGGGGATTGACGTTTAAACAGTACACTGGGGTCGTGGTCGTAGGTCGTAGGTCGTAGGCTGTAGTAGATCAAGTCTTCAGAGGCTAAGGTGATCAGT